TATTTATTTATTTTATATCCCGCCTATCTAGTCAATTAAGACCACTCTAGGCGGCTATGTCTCTGTAGTAAGATTGCTAATTAAAATGGGACCCAGAGATCTCTTGCTCATAGATTGGACACTTCCTGTGATTCAGTCTTGTTTTTGTGCTGACATCACAGGGTTTGCTGACATTGAGCAACTTTCCAGAGATACAATCTTAATCATACCGGCAAAGAAATAAGGTGCAGGGCCCCAGTGGAAGCTACCTCCCACAGGCATGCAGTTAGTAGTTGTGTGTGTGGTTTGCAGAAGTCTAGCAGTAGGTTGGCCCTTATGAATTGGCCCTCCCCCCCAAAAAGGAGATGCATCACTGAAAAGTAGCAAACAGGGACACATATTGGTATCAAATTTCTATATTTTGACTCAAATGTAGTAATGCAAGTTTAAGAATTGCTACTATAATTTAATTAAAAATACATCTCAGCACAGTGGGGAATACTGTGCTACTCCTGTGTGCCTAATCAGTAGGCTTTCCAGAGGGCACCTAGTGGACAGGCAGTTTGAAAGCTCTTCCTCTTGGTTTTTTTTTGCACCAGTCAGCCCTCCAGATGCAGAATATCTTCAAAGACAGGGCTTAGCATTGTACTGTAGAATTTATGGCCACCCTACCGTCAGGTCTAGAGTATTATATATCTGTTGTGGCTTCTTCTCAGATGGATTTGTGGAGATTCTTATTTGGTATGAAGGCAAGTAGGTATAAGACAAGTAGGTATAATGGTCTACATTATATGTGCCAGTAACAGCCTCTGGTGCCTAAAGACACCTGGTACCCACTTGGAAATTTGAGCCATGATACCCATTTTCTAAATCCGTCTTGCATTCCCAGTCTTTTTCACCAAATGTCAGATATATGTAAGTCTGGGAAAAACCCATCAAAATCCAATGCGTAGGTCTCTGTACTTAGTAGCACTTCTAGATGCAGTTTGTTTGAAAGAGCAATCTTTTGCAAGATTTGTTATGTGGATGCATTTTGAACCTCTGAAGTGAGTTTCAAATTTATTCACATGGTGTTGTCCATGCCTAGCACAGGCAGTATTACATTTTTAAACACATCTGCTAATCCTACAAGTAAACAAACAAATTAAAAAAAACCCAGAAAAAGAATAGACAGTGGCTGGTCATAGTCCAGTGCCAAATAGGCACAAAACAACAGCAGCTGCTTATATTGCACAATAGAACACAGAAAAAAGGTTCTAATTAGTTTTGTCTTTTAAATGAAATAAGAAAAGAGAAGAGAAGAAACGGGGGAAAATTGGACATAAAACTAGCATTCTTATAGAAGGTGGGGAAAAGATTCTACATCATTCATAGGTTTTCAGTTTATGTGGTTTTCCTATAAATATTCATGGACAAAAAGTGGAATTGCTTCTCATAGACCACTCCTAAGGGAGCTCTCATTGCTAATAAACTCTAACAGCACATGTTAGTAATAATGGCCCTTCTTATTCTACAAGACAAAAACAAAATCCCATGCCAGCATGGTGGCTCAAGTAACCAGCCTTAGCAGGTTGGCTTGCAAACCCAGGTTTTGCTTGAATTCCTGCCACTTCCAGCTTAGATGTTTGCTGCAGCCCTTTTATACAAAGACAGAGCTAAGGCTATCCAGTACAGGGAAGCAGCATTCAGTTCTCCTCTCCATACTAGTGTAGTTTAAGTTTGCCTAATTAAGACCTTTCTCTGTGGGTGTGGCATTAGGCAGGTTGCAGGAGGAAGTGGACTGTAGAATTCTCCTTAACATGGAATGAAAGTAGTTTATTACAAAGCTGCTTTATAATGAAAAAAGCAATGTTTTGTCATGTCAAAGTTGCTTGTTAGGCACAATATTTATATCACTTTTTTCTATTTCTTCTTCCTTTGTGGAGCTCAGGGTGGTGTCGGTTACGTGTCTATCCTTTTAAACTCACAGCTGCCTTTGATGCGTGTTACATTGAAGAGTGTGAGTAGCACAAGATCAGCTAAAATTTAGGAGTTTGGGGGAATCTCCTTTCTCAACCTGGGGCCCTATTAGCAGGATAGATAACAGGGAGCTGAACAACTAGGTGCACCTGATATAAAACAGCCTGCTGTTTTCACAGTGGGATTAACTGTCCTGCTGAGGCTATCTGAATTTTCCCACAAAAAAGGGACAAATAGATGCTAAAACTAAAAGTTTATCTAGATGAGACATTTGCTGTCCCCTCTCCCTTGTGCTGATTGGCACCACTTGGTGCTAAATGGTGCCAAGATTCTTACTGGTGTTTCTGCCCATACGCATTCCTAAACTCACTCTTCCCTTTCCTTCCCTATAAAATAAATAAATCAGCATCTTTCCATAGAATGGATAAAAATTAGCTATTTTTAAAGAAAGAAAAGAAAGAAAACTCTGAATACCACATTTCTTAACTTTCACTCACTGGTTTTGCCAGAATTTCTAACAAAGGCTTGGCCTCTACACCATACTAAATAAAGAACTGAACCTTTTCTTTATTTGAAATGCAGAAGTAATTTATAAATTCACATGAGATTAAAATGGTGTTTGACTATCCACTGAGCCAAGAACACTGGAAAATTTCTTCCATTCTCAAGACATATACTGAACTTTCTATTTACTGTATAATAGCTTCCTAAAGGAACTAGGTTCTTTTTCCTTGGTGGATTAGAGTCAAAAACATCATTTAAAAAGAATCATTATATGCAAATTAGATAGGACTTGGCTGTGGGCCATTTACACAGCTGCCTCACACACCCACATGTGAAACTAAATGAGCCACTTAACTCTACTGACAAGTTTTACAAAGACTTCAATCACTCATTTAACCAAAGACTTTGATAGCTGCATGTTTATTAATGAAGATAACTTTTCTATAAGTAGCTGTTCCTCAAATGCTGGTGCTTATTAGAAATATAACTGGATTGTCCACCTTTCAGTTGCAATCCTACACATGTTAAATGTATTTTTTATTATGTGAGAAAATTGTTTGTTTTTACAGACATAATTAACTGGAAATACCACATTTTTTAAAAAGGAAAATTAAAAAGTACTTCCAAGGAAAGACGATGAAACATATAAACTCAATGCAAAGTTGAGTCACATGTTCAAATGCTGAAAGAGTTATGAGCTCCTCAAACTATTGAGTCATGTAAGGTGGGCATTATCTTTCCAGTGCAGTAACATACATATTTTAGGCAGTAAAAGGATACAGAAAATAAATTTCTATCAACCAGAAATAAGTTTCCAAGCTGCAGAAAAGTAATTCAAAATCACAAGGAAATCTCTCAGTTCAGAGATTTTACCAAAATGAAATTAATATATTGAATAATATGAATTCAAAAGGGAAGTGGAACTTTATATAACCCCATCATGTGTTTAATAAATGTCTGGAAAAAATTGCAGCCCCAGGAGTTAGCCAACATAATCAGAACTTTATTAAATTGTCATTATGGAGTCTGTAACATATGGAACATAATTTTAGTTGTACAAATTGTAGCTTAAGATCCGTAGATAAAGTGTTATAGAAGTGAAAGCTACGATGTACTGATGATATAAAATAAGTTATCTGATTCTTCGATCAAAGTCCTGTTGCATAAATTGCATCAATGTAAAGGAGACAATGTTGGCAGGGGGAGATAGGTGGGGAACAACAACAACAACAACAACAACAATAATAATAGCTCCCTCTTCAACAACAACAACAACAACAGCTCCCTCTTCAGTCTTGGTGCTTGCATGTCTCATGCACAATCAGTCTAACTGTACATGCAAGTCATGTGAGCCCCAAGATCAATTATTGACAACCTCTCCCTGCCCATAATGTTATCTGGCAGGGGAAACAGCTGGCAATTAATTAACCAGAGACCTCAAACAAGAAGATTTCGCATAATCCAGAATCAGGAATTCATTGTATGTATCAAATTCCAGTGATTACCAAACGTTGATAGCTACATAAATTAGATTCACAATCAACCTCAGGTTATCTTCTCCCTGCCAATACTTAATACATCACACCAGGTCTACATCTTAGCATCAACATCTTTGAGCATGATTGATCTATGATTTGCCAGGTTGCAGTAATGCAATCCTCATATAATGAAGCAATCCAAGATCTGGGCTCACAAACCTCCATATACAAACCATGTAATTTTGAAATAATAAGATCTGCAAAAGCTTTATAGCATTCTATGGAAACCCATCTGGTAATCTCCTCCATATGCAGAGTTATAACAGACACTGCAGTTGTGAATGATCTAAATATGAAAAATGAAGATAGTCTACTTTCTCTTTGTATTGTATTAATCGTTTGCCTTTCTATATATCATACCTGCTTTTGCTCTCCAAAAAAGGAGCAACTCGGACTGGAACACAAAATATTGAAAAGTATATGAACATTTGTGAATTGTCATTGCTAGTTGGGCAGTGTATTACTATTTTAAATAAATAAATAATTTTTTTTCAATGACAAACTACAGTTTACTCCTGCCTCTAGATTCTGAAAATTAAGTTTGTTGTTCAAATGGGATTTAGACAAAAGTATTATATTTGCTGGCAATATAAAAACAATGGGCATGTTTTTTTTCTTATTTTTATTGACCAGGTATTGGATTTGGTGAGTATTAATTCAGCTGATTCAATTTTTATAACTTATTGATACTTTCATGTGTATGAAGCTGGAGAAGTGTACTTCTAAACTCCTATGCGTTTGGGTCCCCCCCCCCCAATTATTCTGTGTTTATGAAATGTAATCATTGCTCCACATAACTTTGCCCCATTGAACATCATTTATGTTTATGCCATTTAGGGAAAGATCCTCAACCGAAAAGGATGTTGTCCCATTTGCACTGAAAGTGAGTAAGTTAATTCTTCATTTTTCCACTCAGTAGTTTGTCAGGGAAATTTAATATGAATTGTCGTGATGTCCTCCCCTTTCGTTTTAGTTAAGAAAGGAAACATTTGTTGGAGGATTGAGTTTATTCACTAATGCTTAATAATGCATATTTCACACTAGAAGCTTGATAATTTTATCATTCCTTGTTTATGTTCAAACTATTTTCCAAATAGTAAAAAAAAAAGACATACCTTACAAGAGGTTTAACCTTACAAGAGGTTTATAACTGAAGGTCCATTATCCTCTGATATCTCCACCAGCCCATTCTGCATTAATCCTGAGAAGTCTTGTGTTGTTGGAGGGCTTTGAATCAAAATATCTTTATAGTTATGAGGCCATAAAAGCATAATAATTTCCAATTACATTGCTCTGTTTTTGTTTTTGTTTCTGTCCTAACAGAAGCAGGATTTCCCCAATCTGTTTTAATTTGTGTAAATGAGCTGATGTGGTTACTAAAAGCATTTAGAACTGAAAACTGGCAAGTCCAAACTGATGGTTGAAAAGTTTGTCAGCTAAAATGTGTCTGGCCTTTAATTTTAAATTAATGAGCTATTGTAGGTGATCACGGAACAAAGGAAGGCTAATGATGTGAGTGATCACAGAAGGAGAGGAAGGCAATTAACTTTAGAGAAAGTACAAAGAAGTCTGAGCCAGCGGAGCTTAAAAGCAACGCCTTGAGAACTCTTTTTATTAACTTAGCAGGATTACACAGAATGTTGTGAGAATTCAGATAGGATACTACTACCCAATCGCCACTAGGATTGGCCGGAGAAAGTCTTCAAACTTCTGATCTAACTCTAAGGGAAAAGGCAGAATGAGAGGTCACCCCGCCTGTTGGGAGCTGCTGCTTCTCTACCAGGAGTGTTTGTTCTCACTATAACAGATAACAACTAATGGCCTTGGGCAGGAGCTTCCCACAAGCTATGGCCCTGGAAATTCTAGTTCCATCTAATTCAGCAGCTGGCAAATTAGACTATCTCAGCCCCGCATCTGCAACATGGGTATAATGGTACTATGTTATGCAGGGTGTTGTAAAAACTACTGTGGAAATGAATGTGAAGAACACCCAACATTTAAAGAAAATGATGCATTCCAAATATATTATTACATTTAGAGCATTTTTTTAAACTTCTTGGGCTATATGGATGTCATTACTGTTTACTGTGTAAATATTTGCTGTTATTTTGCTATTGTCCTTGGTGTGTTATATAAATATCAATATTGCATTGCTGTTACTTCTATTCCCAAGGTTTGTTATGGGAATTGAACTATCTTCTGTTATGGGTAAGGCCAATTTCTGTGCTGATAAAATGAGAAAATAGTAGCATCAAGAACTGCATTGTTTTTCTGCTGTCCCATGTTTACTATACTTTTCTTTCATTTTCATATGCTTCCCTGTTACAGTAACATTGACTCCTGTTACTGTCACTGTAACAGGGGATCTCGGCGCATAGCTCTGTGCAAAACTCATGGAAGACAGTAAGTTACTTTGGTGCCATGTCTCACTTTACGTTTCTTGTATTGAAGTACTCATGCTGGAGTTAAAATATACATACACAAGAATGAGCACTTTGTTGGCCTATTTCTGAGCAGGATTGCTGGTTGTATATACCTTTAAAGGCGATTCCTTTAACAACCTGGGCAACCTGCTTGCTGCCTTCATACCATCTGGATCCAACTCCGGTACTGCAAACCATCAGTAGAGCTGGGAACCACTTAGCTCCCGCTAGAGAACTGCAGCTGCAACCAATCTGCTGTAGCCACACTGATATCCCTTAAACCTTGCCCCCAGCCCCCCAAAAAACTGTTCCCCATCTGCTGAAAAGAGATACATCCATTTAAAGGAAACACCCAGGTCTTTAATCCAGCTGCTGCAACATGACACTGCTGACTGCCCTAGTCACCTTTTGTTTCCTTGTGATATCCACCTTCAGTGAATCCCTGGCGACTCACCTGCCTCTTGAGGAGGCCCCAACCACATAACCTGGATGGTGGTATAACAGCTATCGATCAGTTCCAGGTGTACCTTAATGGAAAAAGTTAGGTCTAGTATTTTGGTTGCTGGCAAATCATTTCCCTCTAGCTGGAAAGGAACAATGTCTGGAGGTCCTGATTGCTTGAGCTGAGCTGGGCCAAGGGTTTGGCATCAGCTGCAGCCAGTGCCAGACCCTTAGCCCAGAGGGAAACCAGGTATTCTAGCACTACCACCTCTGTTGTTTGCAGGAAGGCAGTGCATCCCTTGAGTTTGAGGAAGGAATAGAAAGATCCTAGAGCAGCACTATATGCCCTAAGAGTGGAAGGGGTGACTGAGTTATATACTTCATGGGTTATATCCTGCTTCCAAGACTCTAGTGTTCTTCTGGAAATGGGTCTGGAGTGATGAGTGAATCAGAGGAACCTGTCATCTTGGAAATGAGATAGAACATCCACCATGCTGTTATCCATGACTGGAATGAACTTGGCTGAGAAAGTTATGTTGGCTGACAAACAGATGAGGACTAGCTGCCATATGGGGTGCATCACCCATTCAGACCTAGAGGACTGCCAGTTCACTATCCTAACTATCTCTTGGTTGCTGCCCCAGAACCTAACCTTCTTGTTCTTGAACTTGTCCTGCCACAATGATGCTGCCACCGCCACAATCAGAAATAACTCTGGGAAGGTCAAGTCCTGCAGGATGCCCTGTCCTACCCACTACCATGGCCATCTCTGTGCACATCACTGCCCTTCAAAGTAAGCCCCAAAGCCAAACCCTTGGCTGCATCTGAGAGGATCTGAAAAACCTGTACCAGTTTCCCATAATTGCTACGTAATAGTTATCCTGTTAAATTCTGCCAGGAAGGCTAGTCAAACCAGCAGGTCTTTTTTCATGCCTCTTGTAATCCTGATGTGGTGAGGAGACTCCCACCACTACCCTGCAAGCCTGATGCAAAATGCCTGACCTGGAGCCACTAGCCGCCAGACAAATTTGAGGTGATACAGCACTACCTGCAACTCTCTCAGAATGCATTTCTTGTGGGTCATTATGGCCACTATGAAGTCTTGGAGGGTAGCTAGCTTCTCTCAGCGTTATTGCATCAGTAACCACTGCTCCATGAGGATCCTAGTTCTAGAAAGGTCCTCATTGTCCATGAAGAATGGGGTGAATATCTCCTGGGGGGCTGACATTGTTCCCACACCTCCCTGAGTTGCTCTTGGGGTATGGTATGCTTGCAAGTGGCACAATGGGGAAACCCTAGGGCATATGCTGCCTCCCTCCAATAATCCCCTAATGTGCCATGCACAGTCTCTTCTGGGGTAGACTTGCCTGAGGTGCTGCCCATCCATAATGATTCACAGTGCCTGCAGGAGCTCTTTTTCCTGTTTGAAGCATGCCTTCACTTTCTGTTCCTCCTGTGGGTCCAGTGCTCTGGACTGAGATTGCCGGATTCACTGGTTGCAATCAGCTCCCTGTCTGCTGAACCTGACTGGATGTTCCCAGCCGGTCCCACTGGGCAAAGCTGCAATATCCCCAGAGCTGCTGTGTTCTGCAGTGACCCCAGCTGCTCATTTATGTGGACCAAGGTCCAAGAATTGTTTTGGAGTATTGACTGCTGACCTATGTGGACCAAGGTCCAAGAATTGTTTTGAAGTATTGACTGCTGCCTCTGAGCTGTCTCAGCCTACATAGAAAACAGGACTCTCCTCCTGCATGCATGCAGGCCCCAAGACTTCCTCTGTTGGTGCACTTGGCTCATTCAAGGAAGGAACATGAACTCAGCTGCTTTGCCCTGTTTACTCCTTTTTTTTCTTATGGAGCATGGTGTGGCGCTTGCCCTTGTGGCCCCTGTTTTATCTCGCTCTCACAAAGGCTCACGCTCCTTCCTCCTTCCCACGCTGCCACCAGATGTTATTTCTTTGACCTCAGTTAAGTACTGGACACTTATGCTGCCAAACACAATCAGTTTATTGAACTGGGTGGGGTTAATATTCAGTTGGGAATTGCAGTATAAATCACAGGAAGCCATTTATTATATATTAAACAAGGTCTGGTTCATTCAAATCACTCTTTTAACTCTCCCTATCTATCTATGACTCTCCTGGTCCAGTTCCGAAGCCTCTAGCTCTCTAACCCTTTTTTCCAGCCTCCTTCTCTCCTTCTTCCCAACCCCTCAAACTCTCCCTCTAGCCCCGTCTTCCAGTCTCTCTATTGGCTCTCCCGTCAAGATTCACTCTATTGGCTCTCCCATCAAGGTTCCGCAATGATGGACAGGTGATGTGTGGGCTATCCGCTACACATGGGAACTCTATTGGCTCTCCCATCAAGGTTCCGCAATGATGGACAGGTGATGTCTGGGCTATCCGCTACACATGGGAATTGCTCTGTGAAAACCCCCATATATTATTAAGTCAGCTTGAAATGAATTCAGTTTAGCACTGGGTGGCAGTCTTCTTCTGCAGCTGAATATATAGACAGGTGGGCTATATACACAATGGTGTAGTGTATTAGGTGAGGGGGTCCAATATGTATGGGTACAGTACCCCTTAGAAGTACATCCCTATTGTGCAAATTTTTTCCTGGGTTAGTCAAGCTATACCATTCTTCAGCTCTTTCTGCAGGCCAGCTCTATCAGAATGGTTGAGCCCTACAGATCTCATCTCTTTTGGTGAAAAATGTGCACCCATAGGAATATGTGCCAATATACTTCAAGCGATTTTGATCTGGGGATAGCAGAATGAAGGGGTCCAATCTGCTCCCCAGAGGACTCTTTGGCAACAGCTACCTGGGCCCTCTAAGTGGTTTAGCTTGGTGGAAACATTTTGGCATGAAGAAATAAAATAGTTAGGGAGGGGGGGAAAAACACCAAAAAAGAATTCCTAAAGAAACCTTATTGTTGTTTTTGTTATTTACTGGAGGGAATTAAAACTTATCTGATAAAGAGTTGGTGGTGATCTTCACAAGAGCAGTGAGAACTGAAA